TCAGGACAGAGCTGTAGTTCAGCATTTGTCAGAGGTGAGGGGACTGCCTCTCCTCCAGTGCAGGGCAGCATTGTAGGCTCAGAAGTGTGTTGTGAAGGTGGGGCACAGGGATACCAGTGAGAGTCCCCTGGGAACATGTGCTGCTCCTGGAAGTTGTCTGTGGGCAACAGCCCTATTGTGCGCATAGCTGCATACTGAGGGGGATTTCTTTGCCTGTGGAGGATGCTGTGGTCTATGGCCTTTCCAGTTCTTACTCTCTGGAGACAGCTGGCTGCCCACTTGTTTCTGAAAACATCACCTTGATAGAGTGAGGGAACTATAAGTAACTTCTAGTCTTTGGATAGAAGGATTAGGAAACCTCTGGGGGCCAGCAGCCCTCCTGATAAGTAGAGAAACTTTGACACATTGCCCTCGTGATCATATTAATCTGATGTATCCAAAGGGATTTCAACTTGTACCGTAGCCCCTGCTGCCTTTCATCTGCTCTGTAACCAACATGGGCTTGTCTGCTAGCCTTCGGCAGTCTCTGTATTTCCTCCCCACCTCACTCATAGAGAGCGTGATTGTTTCTTTGGATTTATACCGCTACCTAGCTGAACGGTAGCACAAAGATACACAGAGGAGAAAGTATGATTTACCTTTATTCATAACTTTGACTTGTATGAAAAGCTGCTGTTCTAGAAATCATCTAAAATAATTGTCCCAACACCCCTTTGGCATGTGTTCAGGTACGGTGTACCCCTTTGGTTTCTTCCAGTGCTGCAGACAAGTCTCTGCCTTCCCCTTTTGCTTTCCAGTACCACCACAACTTTCTGCAGGACTTCAGCTTTCCCGAGCCGGGTGCAGGAGGCTGGGCAGCGGGGTGGGTTGCTGCTCCTGCTGGCTCTCCTGGCTTCTCTTCTCCTCTCCCCAGCATCTGCAGCTGTGCTCTGGCCGGAGGGATGCTTTCTGCAGTGTGCAGTGTGGGCAGTGAGGCTGTCCAGGAGGCTCCCTTAAAACACAGTTGGTCCCATTTAGGGTCGGAGATACGTGGCAGTTGGTATAAAAAGGAGTGTTCGTTTAGTTGGTTTCAATTGTAAGTGCTTTGAGGGCAGGGCCTGTCTTTTATGTGTTTACATGTGGGTGTGTGGTTTTTATACAATTCCTAATGCGAGACACACAGTTAGGAGCTGCGGTATGCAAAACCGCAGCTTTGTGTCCTGTGGTAGCTTAGAGTAGTGTTTTTCCGGATCCACAGAGGTGGACAGTGGTTCTGGTCAGAACACTGGGGCTATCCAGAGAGACAACTTGTTTTGGGCCTCTCAACACAAGGGTTTTCCTCCTGTTGTCACCAAGCAACGTACTCCAGTATATTCTAGGTGCAGCAGTGGTAAGCTAACTGTAAGAGCATGGCCCCATGTCCAGAATCCTTTTGGGATGGATTCCTTGACCAGTTTAGGAAGAGAAAGCTGCATTGCACCTTCCATCAGCTGACGACCAGAGGGTTGGACTAGATGACCCACAGAGGTCCCTTCCAACCCCTACTATTCTGTGATTCTGTGATCACCTTTCACCCTTAGTTTTGGACAATGAAACAATTGCTTGCACTACAGAGAATTTGGATTAGAAAACAGACGTTGCTCTTGAAGTGTGCTGTAGGTAAAAGAGAATCTGCACTCAGCAAAATTTTAATGTGTTTTAAGCTTGATGTTCTGTTTTTTTTCTTTTAGAGGCAAGAATGTATTTTTAAGCCTTTGCAGGTGCGTGTTGAGGCTGTATTATGTTACAAGGAAAAGTCAGTGGTGAAATTTTTGGTTTCTGTTCCTTTGGCATACTCTTGTGCTAAATTACCACATTTCTTATAAAATGTGATGGACTGTTCTGCAGCTTGTAGTGCCTGATTTCACAGTTTCTCTATTTTGTAAACTTACTTTGTAAGCTTATTTTGTAAACTGGAATGTCCTTAGGAAAGGTTCGGGTCAAAACTTAGGAGCGACTCCAGCAGTGAGAACAGACGTGTGCTGGGATGGACTGCGTGGGGGCTGTGGAGTCTCCGTCACTGAAAGGCTTTAGTAACAGATACAGCTGTAAAGAATGGCAGAGGTGTTGCTGGCTCTGCCAAGACGGCCTCCTGAGGTATTTTTTTTCTTCCTTGCCCCCTCTGCCATGATTTCGCTGATATTGGGATAATGCATTACATTTGTTTAACACAATTCTGTTCTTTAATCACTTGTGTTTCTTTGAAACTCAAGATCAGGTTCCAACATCTACTGGGAGAACATCCTGGGACTCTGCCATCACGGTTCTGGGATGTCTAAACCAACTGACTCTGGGCCTCTGGCTGTCACAAGAGAGTGCTTAGGAGAAGTTTTGATACCTTTGATTACATGTCCTACACTCCTTTTCCCAAGCCATAAAACACTCACTGGGGAAGTGTTACCATGAAACTCCTCTTGGGGACAGCAAGTAGAAATCTTTCTTTTGCTTGCCAGGGTAAATGGAGATGAGGTTTTTATTCTTGTTACCTACAAACACAAGTGAGAAAAGGCTGCAAGGAAAAGTCATATCTGTGCACAGCCTTGAGGTCTCTGATGAAACAAAATGACACAAAATTTACAGATGCTAAAAACAGTGATAACATCAGTTTGATGTAGCATTTTGTCTTCCTCCTATAATATAGTAAAATGGCCTGTAATGCACATTGCAAAATTGGCATGCATGGCTCTTTGAAGATATCATCTTCATTCTACGTCTGCAGTGGCCAGAGTTACAAGCCAACCCACTACAGTGCTACGATGAGCCATACAAATAAATAAATAAATAAACAGGGACAAATAACACCAGCTCCTCAGGGGCAGCTGCCCACTCAATCCACCTTGCTTAGGTTGCAAACTCTTCAGCGTAGGAAACCTTTTGTGCCTTGTACAGACTTAAATTCAGCCCTGGTGCTTAGGAAGGTAACAGATTATGTTAGTTTTGTGTATTATATTATAAAAAATATGACATTTAACTTTCAAGTCTTTGCTGACAGTAACATTAGTACAAACTTAAAGAGTTTGTTTGCAGCTCTGTCTTCAGCCTTGCATTTTAAATTGAGCTCTTGTGGCCCATCAGAGGTGGTTGCTGTAGCATGAAAATGCTTTGGAAAAGACGTTTGTATTGTGGTTTATTTATTGTATTTGTATGCATATTTCATCTATTAGTGCTAAATGGCTTTTTGGAGGGTGATTGTAGCCATATCACTAGCTGGGTGTCTTCACTGTATTCTTTCCCACTGGCTGTTGTATACTGTCAGCTTTCGTGTCTTTCCCCTACTCCCAAGCTGTTTGGCTTTCAGACCCTCCAACTCTGGAGTCTGCAAGCAAAAAATTTCTTCCTTTAAAATGAAAGACAAAACCCAGCCTAGGGCAGCTAACCTAACTTAGGACCATCTGTTAGAAAGGTGGTAATGTCACTACCTTGAACTATGGCTTCATTTTTGTGTTTCATGCAGCAGCTTCTTCGCATTGTTTATATTCTGGTTGAAGAGAATCGTCCTATACCAGGATGCAATGAGAACGTCATTGTTCCTCGAACACGAGCAGATGTCCTATCTGCAGTACTAGCAATAACATTGCCGCTTCCTGTTGTTGCAGATGTTGTTAGCAGGCTAGGGCTGAAAGCAAAGAGGAGGCACATTTCAGCCTGTGCCATTCAATGCCACCAACATCAGTGCTACCTATGCACCTCTTTTCCACGTGTATACTTTAATAGTGGCTATCCCAGCTAGCAGGTAGGAAGTTGCCCTGGATCGCAAATTTATTTCCTTTTTACTTCACGTAGGAGAGGAATGCTTCCAAAATCTCTGTTGTTGTTCTCTGCCTTGACCTTTGCTTTCTCTAAATTCGTTTACACTAAACCCAAATTACAAATGGTGTGTTACCATACTGAGGGAAGGAGTGCCTGAACTGAATCTGGCATGTATTTAAGTGTAGATCTACCCATTCCTAGGTTCCAGGCAGAGCCCTGTATAAGCCTTCAGTCAGCAATTATTGCATTCTTTTTCCTTTTTTATTGGAGGTCACTATCAAATCCCGTGACACAGTTCTATCACTAATCTGGCAGGCTGCCATTCAGACCACAGGAAGCCCGAGAGAGAAGAATATACACTTAGGGCCTTATTCCGTCTTCATTATTACCTACCCCAGCAGAATTCCTTAAAGTCTCTGGAAGTTTGATCTGAATGGAAAGTATTTTGCCTGAATAGCACCCCTTATTGAGGCATTGTCACCGAGTCACAAATTTAGATGAGTGTTGTGGCTAGCAGTTTAATCTATACTGCATGGCCGTTTTTTCACACCAACACAGGGAGTGCTAATCACTTCTAATGGTCTAACAGGATTGTCTGGCAGTGAAGGACTTCTTGATTTGAGAGCTGGATGCTGAAGGAAGAAAACACAGTTCCCATTCAAGAGTTTATTTGAGAATGTATTCACTTTGGCAGTGAGGGGAATATTGGATTTTGATGGTTTTCAACAGGAAACACAACCTTACTAAAGGAGGAAAGCCAGGGTTCCATTCACAGAAAATATGCAAAAAACTTGTCCTTTGGAGGAAAAAGAACAAAGACAAAACTGCGATTTGTGCATAAAAGATAACAAGAAATGAAAATCATAAATAAGGCAGCATCTATAGCTGCCAGATGATAATATGGAGGCATTAAGCTCTTTTCCTATATACTTTTGTGTGCCTTAATATATGAATTAATTGTTGTGCTTAAAATGACTACTGATCTTCTATGTTACTGCCATACAGAGACTCACAGAGAGATAGTAACCTTGTTTTTATGTTTGGATCATTGCCAGTTCATTGGCTACTATTGTCACTTGTGATTTCATGGTGCTGTAATTGTTGGGAAGTAACTTTCCTGTTGTTTTCACCAGCAGCACTTAGCTACATTTCAGTGGTAATAAATATTGTATCAGTCGTTCAGGGAGTTCTAGTCATGTTTGGGGGGTTCATTCAATGTCTTCTCATTTCAGGTTATTGAAGGGAAGCTGGCTCCTTTCTTGGGGAAGGTGATCAAATTTGCAACCTCTCATGTGTACAGCTGCAGCCTCTGTAGTCAAAAGGGTTTCATCTGTGAGATTTGCAACAATGGAGAAATCCTTTACCCCTTTGAAGACATTTCTACAAGCAGGTACTGTGATGTCAGTCATACATTTGACTTGCGTATCATATCCTTGCGGATTCTCAGCCTCATGACCTCTTATTAACTAGGGACTGGATCCCATAATGCACATTTCTGGACAGCTACACTAGATTACTGGTCCAGGGAGGCCACCACGAGCAGACTTGGAAATAGATGGGAAGAGCTACTTCCCAAAGCCTTTTAAGTCTTAGAACAGCTGTTCAAAAAGGATCCCCAGTAGCATCACACAGTGTGATTTATCTGAGTTTGCAAAGTGTCCTGAAAAGCCAAATGTATTCTCTGAAGTAATCACAGACATTTTTCTGGTATCTGGTGTCACTGGGCCTGTACTGGGATTGTCCATTATAAAAAAATATCGATTTATTGTGAAGTGTTTTCCCCATGAGATGTTACGGCTAATTCTCTGCTTTCTGTGTGCATACTCCTCTGTGCATGCGAGATTTTTTTTTTAAATGACATTGCTGTTGTCATGTGGCTACAAAATAAATATAAGCACATGCCGGTCCTAAGCTAAACAAAAGAACCTTTATTTCACATTATATGGAGTACTGGATGCCAGATCAGGAACTGGAGTTGCATGCAAAACCTAGAAGCAAAATGCAGAAAACCACAGTAAACTTGGCAGTGCTGCAGTGTTACTATTCTTTTTCAAATATGTATTAGATTTTGAATAAAGGAAATTTTTTTTTTTTTAACTCAACAGAAAGACAGTATATCTGACAGCCCAGCATTCCTCCATAGATAAGCACTTTCCTGGCTATTTCAAATACAGTCAATTTAATTTGTTCTCCAAAGTGTTCCACTAAAGGGGAAAAAAAATTGAAGAGGCAGCTTTGGAAACAATCAGGACCAGCCTATTAAAAGGCCTTCGTTAAGAATCTGATTCCCCTGCATGCACGAAGATGTTAAATTACAGGTAACCAAGGACTACTCTTTGGGGATTTTCAGCCTGACCTGAGTTTCAGAGACTGTTTGCACATTCTTTTTTTCAGACTCTCATTCTAAAAAATGCATTGACAGAGCAGTGGGCATAAGCTAAACAAGGTATGCAGCTGAGCTCTCTAAATGGTTTTCAAGAAAGAATGTATCTAGGGTGCATGGTGAGATAGGCCAAGCTAAAAAGAGAAAGACTAAGATGACATAAAACATAAGATGTCTACTGAGACTGTGTAAAAGGCAATTGAAGATATTCCTGAAAGATTGATGAGAATGTGTAAGAGCATTTGGGAAGACAAGTTTACTTCAAGTGTCTGTGCATTTGATTTGTCTGGGGGATTTTTGGTCACAAAAACATTGTTGGGTGTATATTGTTCCCCCGCCCTTCAGCTGAGATCAGACATACCTTGCAATTACAGAATTTAATACCTTCTGAAATCAAATAGTATTTGTCAGCAGGTCAGTGAAAGCCGAAAGAAGCTGCTCTAGCTCCTGTTTATATGTGAGTTAGAAGCCAGAAAGGACTTTTGTTCATGTTTCACAGATGTGAAGTCATGTTTGATGTCATGCCAAAGACAGTGGTCTTTGTTAGTGATTTTAAATATAACACAATCATCATGAAAGATTCTCCAATATTTCTCTTTCTTATTTTGTCAGAGGTCATTCTGCTTAGTCCTTTTATACTCCTTATCACTAAACCTTGCTTTTATCCCCAGCATTTTCCATTTCCCTTCCTGGTTAGTTTTCTCATCTCATTACTGCTCATGTGTGCACATGCACCTCTGTGAAACTAACCAGATTATTTCAGTTCCAAATTTTTGCTCTTTTCCATCTTCAGGCTGGAGACAAGCCATGCCAGGAGAGGAGCTTGTGTATTTTACTGTGCAGTTGCATCAGCTGCAAAGCAGTGAGGGGAAAAAGCCAGGTAGAGGGGTTTTATGTTTGTTTCCGTCTCTTACAGATGAGAGAGATTTCTGAGGTAGGAGTGCTGACCGCTACAATGACTGGTGTAAGGTTGGGAGGCTAGTTAGAAACAGGTAGATATGTGGAGTAACCTGTGGCAGATGGCATGGTAATTCACAAAAGGTTGGTATGAAGGCATGCAGTTATACCTGAATTTTCTGATGACTTGTTCAGCTTTCCTTGTTAGTTAAGTGTTATACAGAGCTCTGAGTAAACAGCTCAGATTTGTGATTTAGTTATACTATTCTGAGTCCACAATGTGCAGTGAGAATTTACTACAATTCCTTTTCTCCATCCTGGTTTTCTGGAATTGCTGGCTACAGCATAGTATTCACACTTTGTACTCAGTCCTAGGCTGCCAAGTACACTGCCTGTAGCTGCTGAGTTAAGGAGGGAAGAACAGCTGAGCTCTGAAGACCGTGTTTTTGCTGCTTACTTTTGAATGTTGCTCATTCACTTTTGAGCATGCTACTAATTCTACCAGCAAACTGAGCTGTTGGGTTAGAAATATTTGAAAGTGGGTGCATGACAACTTTTGCAAATTTCACCTCTCTATTGAATGTCTGAAAAGTGAACTCTGTTTGTCTGTGAGGTGGGTTTGTGTGTCTGTGTTGAGCTGGCTACCTCTCTGACCTTTCTCGCTCTTTGGAAAGAAGAGTGACAGCTGTCAGAGACCATTACAATTCCAAGGTTACCTTCCATCTTCACGGTCTCTTAGGTCAGCTTTGGGGTGGAGAGATATTTTCTCTCCAAGATATTCTCAGCAGTTTCTGGAGTGGTCTTCAGTAGGAATTTGTGAAGGATGGGCCGCCTTTAGATAGATACAGCTGAGAGAAAAGGAGGGCACCTCTTGAGGGCTGGAGTTTCCCTTTGGTCAGGTTATTTGCTTGAGAGTAGTTTTTGTCAGTCCTTGAGCAAACAGAGTGAATACCTGGGTTATACACTCCTCAGGGTTTGAATACACATATATTGCATACCCTTCTCTCACTAATCAGCATGACACATTCCGTTGTTGGCAAATGGTTCCAAAACAAACACAATCAGTTCACTTAATTAGCGGGTCTGTGAGCTGTGCTTGGCAGGCTCTTTACATCCTGCTCAACAATACAGCTCAACAGTTTGCTGTCTTGAATGTAAGGGTGGGCTCACAAAGTCATAAGCTTTCTAATGATATTTCCTTTCTGTGGCTTTTCTTGGGAGGTGGCCGTTCTGCACACAGCTTAATGAAAGCTGTGATTCAGTAGTTAAACAATTTCTTAAAAATTGTCCCATCTTTTTGAATGCCTCTTCCAGTCAGTGTGATTCGTCTGTCCCCTATTTTCCTCTTTTCAGTCTTACCCGTATTTATATAACAGTTCATCAGGGTTCTTTCTATATTTCACAATTTCAGCATCTTTTTTGAATGCCTTTAAATCATGAGAACTATATTCAAAACTTCTTGAGTTAATTGCACCTTTCATGAAGCAAATTGCCAGCTAATGTAAACTCTCACACCTCTGCTGGAGCCCCAGCAACTTAAACAACGTGAGCATCTACCTTCTGTTTTATTGCTTGGACTAAATTTGCCCCAGGTTTAAATTTAGCAAATAAACGTATAAAGTTATCCTATTATATCACTAATTTTGCATTTACAAGTTTTGTGAAATGAGTTTAAATATCCCTGGTTATAAATTGGCTTGTTAGAGCTATCCTTGCCCATTTGTTAGCAGCCGGGCACTGCCACTCAAGTTGTTGTGATGTTGCTTTTTCTTCAATAGTGTGGTGAAAAGTTTTTGTTTTTTCTCCTGAAATTCAAACAAAAAAAAAGCAGAAGTGAAAAGAAAATGCCTATGTAGTGGTACTCTTGTCTATAATATGTGGCCATATTTGTTTTATAACCTAGAACAAATTTTAACAAGTTTTAAATCTTAAGGAATACTGAGAAAAATACCATTGGAATGAGAATAGAATTATTCATTGAAAAGGGCTTTCTGTCCTGTTAGATAATAAAGTAGTTATGATTAAGATTATTATATGCTACTCAGTTAATAAAGTTTTGGTCTTGCCTGTGTGTCAGCATCCTAGTGACTACTTTCACAGCCAATTTGTTGTGTTTTGCTGGTAAAGCTGCTTGCTTAGTTAAGAGCTAGTTCATCAATTCCTTGCCTTTTATGTGGTGACTATAGATGTATGTGAACTATGTAGGGTTGCTCTTTTGTGTTCGCATCATATATCAAGGCTAAACTGTTTTCGCTTTGCAAAGTTGATTTGTTCTGCAGATCAGTTAAGACATGTCGACCTTTTAAGATACGAACCAGAAGACCCAAGTTTAAAATAGACATGCCACAGAACAGGCTTGACTATATCAACCAGCTTGGATACCTCTATAATCTTTGGCCACCATCCTGATAAGACCTATGCATGTACTTAACTTTACAAATAGCAAGAACGCTTACTAAAGGCTCTGAGGATGTACTTAGCTTTATGTGCATGCCAAAGTCTTTGCAAGATTACAGCTTGCTGTGCTATGGATGCTGTGTCATTGGACAAAAACAGCTTTGAGCATTTCGGAGAATGTTGAAGATAGATATTGGGTGGAGAGACTGAAATATGTGGTATAGAGCATTTCCAGGAAATACCTTGGCACAGGTCAAAGGCATCGCTCAAAGTACATCATTTTCCCTCTTGCTTTGATTAGTTTGTTCTATGCTAGACAGCCTTTCCCCAAGCCCAGTTCCCCCGAGCTCTGCTAGAGTAGTTTGGTACCTAGTTTTTGAAAGAGCTTAGCTTATCAGATGTTGATGGTTGGTTCAGAGTACCCTGAAGTGATCTGCTTAACACTTTCTTTAAAGAAATTTAGGCACCTAATTAGACGCTAAGTTCTCGTGATAATTTCATTTCACCTGAACCTGTCAAAACTGGTCAAAATATTCTGGTCCAGATCTTCTGAATTTTGTCTGTGCAGGGTAGTCCAGTAGTGTTATCTGGAATACATAAAAAGAAAGAGATAAAATATACTTGTTTTTTCATCAAGCATTGTATTTTGGAACTGATTTAGCTTTAGAGGTTGGTTTTACCTGCCTCATGTCAGAGGGATGTTAAATAGAATG